GCGAGGCGGCCCGTCCTTGGGTCTGCAGGGGAGTCAGGCTCAGGCTGGTCTGACTTATGCCAGTGAGCAGTGGGACAGCTCCCCACGCACACAGCTCCCCTCCTCCCCACAGCTCCCCCCACGCACGGAGCCCACAGGGGGCACAGAGCACACAGCCCACAGGGGGCACAGAGCCCACAGGGGGCACAGAGCACATAGCCCACACAGGGCACAGATCCCACAGGGGGCACAGAGCACACAGCGCACAGGGGGCACAGAGCACACAGGGGGCACAGAGCACACAGGGGGCACAGAGCACACAGGGGGCACAGAGCACACAGGGGGCACAGAGCACACAGGGGGCACAGAGCACACAGGGGGCACAGAGCACACAGGGGGCACAGAGCACACAGGGGGCACAGAGCACACAGGGGGCACAGAGCACACAGGGGGCACAGAGCACACAGGGGGCACAGAGCACACAGGGGGCACAGAGCACACAGGGGGCACAGAGCACACAGGGGGCACAGAGCACACAGGGGGCACAGAGCACACAGGGGGCACAGAGCACACAGGGGGCACAGAGCACACAGGGGGCACAGAGCACACAGGGGGCACAGAGCACACAGGGGGCACAGAGCACACAGGGGGCACAGAGCACACAGGGGGCACAGAGCACACAGGGGGCACAGAGCACACAGGGGGCACAGAGCACACAGGGGGCACAGAGCACACAGGGGGCACAGAGCACACAGGGGGCACAGAGCACACAGGGGGCACAGAGCACACAGGGGGCACAGAGCACACAGGGGGCACAGAGCACACAGGGGGCACAGAGCACACAGGGGGCACAGAGCACACAGGGGGCACAGAGCACACAGGGGGCACAGAGCACACAGGGGGCACAGAGCACACAGGGGGCACAGAGCACACAGGGGGCACAGAGCACACAGGGGGCACAGAGCACACAGGGGGCACAGAGCACACAGGGGGCACAGAGCACACAGGGGGCACAGAGCACACAGGGGGCACAGAGCACACAGGGGGCACAGAGCACACAGGGGGCACAGAGCACACAGGGGGCACAGAGCACACAGGGGGCACAGAGCACACAGGGGGCACAGAGCACACAGGGGGCACAGAGCACACAGGGGGCACAGAGCACACAGGGGGCACAGAGCACACAGGGGGCACAGAGCACACAGGGGGCACAGAGCACACAGGGGGCACAGAGCACACAGGGGGCACAGAGCACACAGGGGGCACAGAGCACACAGGGGGCACAGAGCACACAGGGGGCACAGAGCACACAGGGGGCACAGAGCACACAGGGGGCACAGAGCACACAGGGGGCACAGAGCACACAGGGGGCACAGAGCACACAGGGGGCACAGAGCACACAGGGGGCACAGAGCACACAGGGGGCACAGAGCACACAGGGGGCACAGAGCACACAGGGGGCACAGAGCACACAGGGGGCACAGAGCACACAGGGGGCACAGAGCACACAGGGGGCACAGAGCACACAGGGGGCACAGAGCACACAGGGGGCACAGAGCACACAGGGGGCACAGAGCACACAGGGGGCACAGAGCACACAGGGGGCACAGAGCACACAGGGGGCACAGAGCACACAGGGGGCACAGAGCACACAGGGGGCACAGAGCACACAGGGGGCACAGAGCACACAGGGGGCACAGAGCACACAGGGGGCACAGAGCACACAGGGGGCACAGAGCACACAGGGGGCACAGAGCACACAGGGGGCACAGAGCACACAGGGGGCACAGAGCACACAGGGGGCACAGAGCACACAGGGGGCACAGAGCACACAGGGGGCACAGAGCACACAGGGGGCACAGAGCACACAGGGGGCACAGAGCACACAGGGGGCACAGAGCACACAGGGGGCACAGAGCACACAGGGGGCACAGAGCACACAGGGGGCACAGAGCACACAGGGGGCACAGAGCACACAGGGGGCACAGAGCACACAGGGGGCACAGAGCACACAGGGGGCACAGAGCACACAGGGGGCACAGAGCACACAGGGGGCACAGAGCACACAGGGGGCACAGAGCACACAGGGGGCACAGAGCACACAGGGGGCACAGAGCACACAGGGGGCACAGAGCACACAGGGGGCACAGAGCACACAGGGGGCACAGAGCACACAGGGGGCACAGAGCACACAGGGGGCACAGAGCACACAGGGGGCACAGAGCACACAGGGGGCACAGAGCACACAGGGGGCACAGAGCACACAGGGGGCACAGAGCACACAGGGGGCACAGAGCACACAGGGGGCACAGAGCACACAGGGGGCACAGAGCACACAGGGGGCACAGAGCACACAGGGGGCACAGAGCACACAGGGGGCACAGAGCACACAGGGGGCACAGAGCACACAGGGGGCACAGAGCACACAGGGGGCACAGAGCACACAGGGGGCACAGAGCACACAGGGGGCACAGAGCACACAGGGGGCACAGAGCACACAGGGGGCACAGAGCACACAGGGGGCACAGAGCACACAGGGGGCACAGAGCACACAGGGGGCACAGAGCACACAGGGGGCACAGAGCACACAGGGGGCACAGAGCACACAGGGGGCACAGAGCACACAGGGGGCACAGAGCACACAGGGGGCACAGAGCACACAGGGGGCACAGAGCACACAGGGGGCACAGAGCACACAGGGGGCACAGAGCACACAGGGGGCACAGAGCACACAGGGGGCACAGAGCACACAGGGGGCACAGAGCACACAGGGGGCACAGAGCACACAGGGGGCACAGAGCACACAGGGGGCACAGAGCACACAGGGGGCACAGAGCACACAGGGGGCACAGAGCACACAGGGGGCACAGAGCACACAGGGGGCACAGAGCACACAGGGGGCACAGAGCACACAGGGGGCACAGAGCACACAGGGGGCACAGAGCACACAGGGGGCACAGAGCACACAGGGGGCACAGAGCACACAGGGGGCACAGAGCACACAGGGGGCACAGAGCACACAGGGGGCACAGAGCACACAGGGGGCACAGAGCACACAGGGGGCACAGAGCACACAGGGGGCACAGAGCACACAGGGGGCACAGAGCACACAGGGGGCACAGAGCACACAGGGGGCACAGAGCACACAGGGGGCACAGAGCACACAGGGGGCACAGAGCACACAGGGGGCACAGAGCACACAGGGGGCACAGAGCACACAGGGGGCACAGAGCACACAGGGGGCACAGAGCACACAGGGGGCACAGAGCACACAGGGGGCACAGAGCACACAGGGGGCACAGAGCACACAGGGGGCACAGAGCACACAGGGGGCACAGAGCACACAGGGGGCACAGAGCACACAGGGGGCACAGAGCACACAGGGGGCACAGAGCACACAGGGGGCACAGAGCACACAGGGGGCACAGAGCACACAGGGGGCACAGAGCACACAGGGGGCACAGAGCACACAGGGGGCACAGAGCACACAGGGGGCACAGAGCACACAGGGGGCACAGAGCACACAGGGGGCACAGAGCACACAGGGGGCACAGAGCACACAGGGGGCACAGAGCACACAGGGGGCACAGAGCACACAGGGGGCACAGAGCACACAGGGGGCACAGAGCACACAGGGGGCACAGAGCACACAGGGGGCACAGAGCACACAGGGGGCACAGAGCACACAGGGGGCACAGAGCACACAGGGGGCACAGAGCACACAGGGGGCACAGAGCACACAGGGGGCACAGAGCACACAGGGGGCACAGAGCACACAGGGGGCACAGAGCACACAGGGGGCACAGAGCACACAGGGGGCACAGAGCACACAGGGGGCACAGAGCACACAGGGGGCACAGAGCACACAGGGGGCACAGAGCACACAGGGGGCACAGAGCACACAGGGGGCACAGAGCACACAGGGGGCACAGAGCACACAGGGGGCACAGAGCACACAGGGGGCACAGAGCACACAGGGGGCACAGAGCACACAGGGGGCACAGAGCACACAGGGGGCACAGAGCACACAGGGGGCACAGAGCACACAGGGGGCACAGAGCACACAGGGGGCACAGAGCACACAGGGGGCACAGAGCACACAGGGGGCACAGAGCACACAGGGGGCACAGAGCACACAGGGGGCACAGAGCACACAGGGGGCACAGAGCACACAGGGGGCACAGAGCACACAGGGGGCACAGAGCACACAGGGGGCACAGAGCACACAGGGGGCACAGAGCACACAGGGGGCACAGAGCACACAGGGGGCACAGAGCACACAGGGGGCACAGAGCACACAGGGGGCACAGAGCACACAGGGGGCACAGAGCACACAGGGGGCACAGAGCACACAGGGGGCACAGAGCACACAGGGGGCACAGAGCACACAGGGGGCACAGAGCACACAGGGGGCACAGAGCACACAGGGGGCACAGAGCACACAGGGGGCACAGAGCACACAGGGGGCACAGAGCACACAGGGGGCACAGAGCACACAGGGGGCACAGAGCACACAGGGGGCACAGAGCACACAGGGGGCACAGAGCACACAGGGGGCACAGAGCACACAGGGGGCACAGAGCACACAGGGGGCACAGAGCACACAGGGGGCACAGAGCACACAGGGGGCACAGAGCACACAGGGGGCACAGAGCACACAGGGGGCACAGAGCACACAGGGGGCACAGAGCACACAGGGGGCACAGAGCACACAGGGGGCACAGAGCACACAGGGGGCACAGAGCACACAGGGGGCACAGAGCACACAGGGGGCACAGAGCACACAGGGGGCACAGAGCACACAGGGGGCACAGAGCACACAGGGGGCACAGAGCACACAGGGGGCACAGAGCACACAGGGGGCACAGAGCACACAGGGGGCACAGAGCACACAGGGGGCACAGAGCACACAGGGGGCACAGAGCACACAGGGGGCACAGAGCACACAGGGGGCACAGAGCACACAGGGGGCACAGAGCACACAGGGGGCACAGAGCACACAGGGGGCACAGAGCACACAGGGGGCACAGAGCACACAGGGGGCACAGAGCACACAGGGGGCACAGAGCACACAGGGGGCACAGAGCACACAGGGGGCACAGAGCACACAGGGGGCACAGAGCACACAGGGGGCACAGAGCACACAGGGGGCACAGAGCACACAGGGGGCACAGAGCACACAGGGGGCACAGAGCACACAGGGGGCACAGAGCACACAGGGGGCACAGAGCACACAGGGGGCACAGAGCACACAGGGGGCACAGAGCACACAGGGGGCACAGAGCACACAGGGGGCACAGAGCACACAGGGGGCACAGAGCACACAGGGGGCACAGAGCACACAGGGGGCACAGAGCACACAGGGGGCACAGAGCACACAGGGGGCACAGAGCACACAGGGGGCACAGAGCACACAGGGGGCACAGAGCACACAGGGGGCACAGAGCACACAGGGGGCACAGAGCACACAGGGGGCACAGAGCACACAGGGGGCACAGAGCACACAGGGGGCACAGAGCACACAGGGGGCACAGAGCACACAGGGGGCACAGAGCACACAGGGGGCACAGAGCACACAGGGGGCACAGAGCACACAGGGGGCACAGAGCACACAGGGGGCACAGAGCACACAGGGGGCACAGAGCACACAGGGGGCACAGAGCACACAGGGGGCACAGAGCACACAGGGGGCACAGAGCACACAGGGGGCACAGAGCACACAGGGGGCACAGAGCACACAGGGGGCACAGAGCACACAGGGGGCACAGAGCACACAGGGGGCACAGAGCACACAGGGGGCACAGAGCACACAGGGGGCACAGAGCACACAGGGGGCACAGAGCACACAGGGGGCACAGAGCACACAGGGGGCACAGAGCACACAGGGGGCACAGAGCACACAGGGGGCACAGAGCACACAGGGGGCACAGAGCACACAGGGGGCACAGAGCACACAGGGGGCACAGAGCACACAGGGGGCACAGAGCACACAGGGGGCACAGAGCACACAGGGGGCACAGAGCACACAGGGGGCACAGAGCACACAGGGGGCACAGAGCACACAGGGGGCACAGAGCACACAGGGGGCACAGAGCACACAGGGGGCACAGAGCACACAGGGGGCACAGAGCATACAGCCCACAGGGGGCACAGGGCACACAGCACACAGGGGGCACAGAGCGCACAGGGGGCACAGAGCACACAGGGGGCACAGAGCACACAGGGGGCACAGAGCGCTCAGTGGGCGCGGAGCACACAGGGGGCAAAGAGCACACAGGGGGCACAGAACACACAGGGGCGCAGAGCACACCGCCCACAGGGCACACAGGGGGCACAGAGCCCACAGGGGGCACAGAGCACACAGCCCACAGGGGACACAGAGCGCACAGGGGGCACAGAGCACACAGGGGGCACAGAGCGCTCAGTGGGCGCGGAGCACACAGGGGGCAAGGAGCACGCAGGGGGCACAGAACACACAGGGGCGCAGAGCACACCGCCCACAGGGCACACAGGGGGCACAGAGCCCACAGGGGGCACAGAGCACACAGCCCACAGGGGGCACAGGGCACACAGCACACAGGGGGCACAGAGCGCACAGGGAGCACACAGCCCACAGGGGGCACAGAGCACAGGCGCTGCGGCCTCACCCAGATGTCCTGCTTCTCGCCGATGGGGAAGTTCGAGTACAGGTCCACGACTTCGGGCGCCCTGTACATGGGCGTTGTGTTCCTGGTGACCTGAAGAACAGATGCACTTTTCACAGGGATGTTGTTTGGTGTCGGTGCCCACGGCCTCCCTGCAGGAAGCGCACGTCCACCCTGGGGCCCAGAAAGCCTCGCCTGGCTGCTCGCCTCCCTTCCCGCCCCCGCTCCCGCCGGCCCTGCCTCGCAGCCCAGCTCTTGCTGGAGTGGCCACACCAGGCACACACGGTGGGATGTCAGCTGTGTGTCCAGGAGACACGTCTCAGCGGACAGGCACGCCCTTCCAGAGCGGACGGGCACTCCCTTCCGGGTCCGGGAGGTGGGTCACCTGTGGCCCGCGGGGAAGGCTGTTCTCAAAGCCGCCTCCTACGCATCCTCGTGGACAGAGACCCTTTGTCCCCAGAGAGAGCTGAACGGAATTTACGGACGAGTCAGGCTTTTATGTGAGAAACCCGAGACCCAGGTGGACAGGGTGGGCCGTGGCAGACTGGAGACACCGCATGGGGGAGGCCAGTGTGCCCGTGCACGGCAGACACACACACACACCAACCCCGGCCAGACTGGGAACACGGACTATGCTGTGACCCCAGCGAGACAGTGAGGCTAACCCACGGTTCTCCTGGGAAGGTCGGCTTCAGGAGACACCGGGGCCAACACAAGGCCACGTCCAGGCGCATAAAGGATGCTGAGCCGGGAGGGAGGCGGGCAGAGGGCACGGCGACCGGACATGGCCATGGAGCCTCCACACAGGAAGTCACCAAGCTGCAGGCCCGTGACCCACGTGTGTACACGTGTTCCCTGCACCAGACGGCGTGCTATGAGCTGTGTGAGGCACTGACCCCCAGCCCAGTGCGACGCTCCTACAGCACGCGCAGTGCTGAGCGCCCTCACCTCCTCCTCCACCAGGGCCCGCCGCTGGGCACTCCAGCTGTAGTCAGGGGCGTGCGAGACGGTCGTGGCGCTGCCAAAGTCGCACAGCTTAATGGTCCCCTGGTGACTCAGCAACAAGTTTTCAACCTGAAAAATTCCAGGAGACAGCCCTTATAGATCTGGGGTGCAGACAGCCAGCTGGCCCTGAGGGGAAAACGCAGCGCCCCTACTTCTTTTTGGTCAAAATCAGTGTGTGTACCTTTAGAAGCAGGTAATTCGGATAAACTCAGCCGTAAGTCAAAAGATAAATGACATTAATACCACGGAATTAACAATGAAAGCCTTTAGAAAAGACTGAATTAACACACTTTCTAAAAACCATCCTATATAATAAAAGCCCAGCACCCGACTGGCAGAATGACCAGAACGACCGGTCAACCAGCTGCTATAACACGCAATGACCACCAGGGGGCAGACGCTCAAGCAGGAGCTGCTCCCTGGTGGTCAGTGCGCTGCCACAGTGGGAGCGCTGCTCAGCTGACCGGGATGGCGGCTGTTCCCGCTGCAAACCCTGAGCAGACGGGCAGGAACCCGGCCGTGATTACCGCCTCCTCGCCCCAGGCTCCTCCTCCGAGTGCTTGCAGAACGCTGGAGGCTGGGGGGGGTGGGGGGGATGGTCGCCGCGGGACTGAGGCCTACTCCACCGCCTTCAGTGCTTATTGTCCCTGGGCCTGGCCCCGACCGGGTCTCCTGGAATGGCAAGTGCTCCAGCTCCACGGAAGATGCCAGACCAGGGAGCAGCCACTCAGAGGGCGGGTCCACAGCGGCTCAGCTAACCAGGATGAGTGGCGCTCCCACAGCAGGTTGATCCCTACAGGCCATGCCCCCATCAGTGCACGAATCCCATGCACCAGGCCTCTAGTCCTATATGCTATCCTATATAATAAAAGCCTAATATGCAAATTGTTCCCTTGACTGGGAGTTTGACCGCTCGCTATGACATGCACTGACCACAAGGGGGAGGCGCAGAACATGGCGGGCGTCAGTGATGCAGCGCTGGCAGTGGGCGACAGTGGAGGCGCTGCTGGCCCCAATGAAAGCCGGACCGCAGTGGGATGGTGGAGCAGGTGAGCGGGCAGCGCCAGGCCAAGGTTGGTGCAAGCAGGGCCCAATGACTCAGTCAGAGGGGGGCGCATGGGAATCCAGGGGCCCAGGTGCTGCCCAGGGCCCAGAGGTCAGCTGGGACCTGCCCTTTCACACCAGACGCTCATGCTTCGATCGCTGGCCAGGTCGAGGGACCGCACCCATGCACGATTTCGTGCACCAGGCCACTAGGCAAATAGATCAAGAAGCTGTCAAGGAGTCCAGCCAGAAACTGTCACTTGAGATGCACTTTTACAATCCAGCATCAACAGGACTAGCAGCAGAGACAGACCTGTCCCAGCCCCTCGAGGGCATGTCCTGGCCC